ACAGTGTTCGTCGGTTTGGGACTGTTGTCCCATTTTGCAGATGAGGAACCCAGGCTGTGTGGGTCCCCTTCTCAGGTGCAGCCCAGTGGCCAGGGCCGGTGGGGACTCAGAACAAGCCACTGGAAACCCTCGTTTCTCCACCGCCAAGACCCGTTTCCCCACCCCGATTTCAATACTCTCGAATTGCAGTTAGAAGGATGCTTCAGTGCTGATGACAAAATCAACCACTGAATTACTGAAACTATAGCAGAGTTTGCAGAACACTTCCGGTGGGTGTATCACTGAATTTTGACCATCCTGCTGGCTGTTTGTTGTCCCCACTGTACGTAAGGGGAAATGGAGGCTCCTACAGGTAAACCCAGGTGAGAAACAAGGCAGGCCTCCCAGCAAGGATCACAACACGTGTTTACTGAATTCCTACTAGACGGTCACGAAGCGTCGAAATCGACAGCAACGGGTTTGGTTGTGGTACGGTGAGCTGGGGACCCGATGGTGAGCAAAGCCAGGCCTGGCGCCTGTCCTCAGGGGTCTTAAAGCCCCTTGAGATAGACAGGCAATAGGTGTGGGCAGCTGGGAGGGCCTGGGAGGTGTCACCCAGGCCACACATGGCTGCTGGAAGGATAGCCCTTCGGGAGGAAAGAGGAAGATGTGGGCTGAGACTACGTGAGGAAAAGAGGGGCCGTTTGACAGGAATTTCAAGTTTTGGCAGGTGCCCAGAGCCCCTTGCCCTTTAAAAACCAGTTGACTTGGAGTTAATGGTGACCCTGTGTGTGTCAGAGTAGAACTGTGCTCCACAGGGTTTTCAAGAGCTGGTTTTTCCGAAGTAGATCGCCAGGCGCCACTCAGGGGCTCCCTTTCCCTTCAGTTCTCCACAATTGGTGATGCTGTGGACTTGGTGTTTTTTTAATCTCTTATTTTAGAACAGTTTTAGATTTACAAAAACGTTGCAAAGATAGTACAGAGTGTACTCAGTTCCCTGTTATTAACGTCTTACATTAATGTGGTCTGTGTTCACAATGAATGAACCGATATTAGCACATGAAGTGTAAGTCCACGCTGTATTCAGAGTTCCTCGTCTTTCCACAAATGTCCATTTTCTGTCTCAGGGTCCCATGTTACATCTAGTCAGGTTGTGACAGTTTCTCAGTTTCTCAGCCTTGTTTTTCATGACCTTGACCGTTTTT